GCACGCATCTTGGTTTTCCTATAGATAGTATCTGATAGTATAGATTCCATAGATAAGCGAAGGCAAAGTATAATGTAGCCAAACGAACTGTCAGTTAGTGTAGCCAAACGAGCATGACATCATCATGGTGTTGTTTAAGGGAGAAGTATTGTACAGTATTGTATAGCACAGAACGCTGTCCACACTCCACATTCCGATTTATTTCGCGGACAACGGAAGAAGGAAAGATAAAGCAAACCATTCCTCGATTCATTGTTGCAAAGATTTCAAGCTGAACATTGTATTAGGACCTAAGTAACATTGATCGATTTTCTCTTTAGTTAATAACTTGAGCACATAGCCGTTTTTTGTTGTGCTTGTCGTATGCTAGATAAAAGCTTCTTTTACCGATTTGTGTGCTGAAAATACCTGGGAATGTTTTTACATGGTCGTGGGAATGCAAAGAGAAAGTCGACGAAGAGAATCTTTCAATGTTACTTAAGACCTCATGCAATGTTCAGCTTGATTTTCTTTGCACTTCATTTTGAATTTTTGCACACGAATCAAAACAAAACTGCGCAAAGAAGAGCTCTATGATGGCATGATATTTTTTTTACGGATGCCAGTCAGATCATTTATTTATCATGGCTGCCAAAACAACTTTTTGTGCCTCCGCTTATCTATGGAATCTATAGTATCTATCTGAGTACTGCGGAGTAAATCGATTTCATTTTGCTAGCCAATGGAAAACTGCTTGAAAATTTGTTCAAGTTTAAAATTGTTTTGTTCTTTCTCAGTTGATTCCCGCCAAAAGCTCTGAGCCAGGAGTGCTCGAGCCCCCATGACTCTATCAAAGTTTGTTTACAAACATGTTTCGCCAAAGTATGTTTTACTGCAATTGAAAACTCAGCTGAGTCATAAAAACTATGCTGGTTTTTATACTTTCATCATTGAGCCTGTTGGTTTTTGTCTTTGAGCTTACAATTAAGAATGTGTTATGAAAAAGTATGAATCATTTTTATACGATTGCAATGCTTGACGAGAGGTAAGAACAGTAACTGAGTTTGTTGCTTCTGAATGTTTGGCTCCCGTTTGACAGTTTAGACTGGCTCCCAAGTGACAAGCACATTGAGTGAGTTCGCAGCACCCAGCTATCTATAGGTTTACCCTGTGGCTATTCAATACGTTCCGCTATAAGTGACGGGTTAACTGGTTTAGACTTAGATAGTGATAAGAGTAAGCTAATGAGCTGTGGTTCCTAAAAAATAAATCACGGGTCATCAGCTCACTTTAGTGAATCGGGTCTTTAGAACAGGGAGCAGATCGCCTATCTCTAATAAGAACCACCTAATGTACTACGATAATCATTCATAAGTCGTGTTTATGGAATTCATAAGTGTATTATGAAATCAAAATTGTCCAGGTTCATAAGTAATCCCTTATGGAATTCATAAGTTTATTTGCCTCAGTGTAGTAAGGAATAGTTAAAATCGAATGAGAAGCAAGGGCACAGTTTCGGATGAAACCGACTGTTCGAAGTTCCATATCTGTTCTGTGCTTGAGTTTATCTTATCATATTCCTCCATTTTGAGTAAATTGTTGGCTCAAAAACACATTCAACTTGTGAAATGGAATCACTAGTGTGGTGAAACAGGGTACAATATTTTGCCGAAGGCATTTTATTTCCTTGATTTGTTTTCCGTCGATCTTGTTTTCCGTACAGAGTACCATTGCTACCAACGCCTGGGAGGCAGCTCCCACACCTGAACCCTACATATCGACCCAGCAACTCATGGACCAGAGAACAATGGCTTTACTTCCCTTCCGAAGGAATGCCACAGGAAATTTTATGCCACAGGAAATTTTATGCCACAGGAAATCCGGCGGCGCTGACTGGGATTGAAACCAGGCCTTTTAGGTTGAGAGGCAATGATGCTTACCACTACACCACTGGCTACGCTATTTAGCCAGCCCAAATAACCAACAAGCCCGTCAATCACCCTTCTTGCTGTATAAGGCTGCTTTTACGACTGATATAAAGTTTGGAAACCCTATATTTACCTTATATCTCAAAAAGGGCGATTATCGGATAGTTAGCGGCAGTGTTCGGAAAAACTCAAAAACCCAAAACTCATGCATTAGTTTATGCGCCTATGAGTTTTGCCTTGCAAAATTCAACGTCGCAAAAATTATCGATGAGTTTTCAGGTTCATAAATTCATTTATTTATATTTTGGCGCTATTTATTGTTATTACTATTGTTTTTACATCAGGAGTTGGAAAACTAACAAAACATGCATAACCATGGTATCAATTGGCGTTTGAGTGGTTTTTATGAGTTTAAAGTTGGAATGATTTTTCGACGTTGTGAGTGTGAGTGCGTGAATATGCATGAGAATCTCATGCGTGAATTTTGTTTGCCACATTTGCACGCGAGTTTATTCTCGCAAGGATACTCAATGAATGAGATTTGAGAATGATTTTCCGAACACTAGTTAGCGGGCTTGGTGGTTACTTGGGAGGGGTTGTCATGGTATGATTTTGCCTGTCATGTTATCCACACTTGTTTCAAAAGTATTTATTGAATGAAGATGTGAAAAAGCACAAACAGCGAGAAAAATAATCTCACTGAACTTTCAAAACGCGGTTCTTAAAAGTTTCCCAAAATCCGCAGTGTATTCACTGTCGTTGCCGTGAATACAACACGCCCATTTGTTCATCGATTTCAAATTCGCATACGACACAATCGATCTAGATCAGTTATGGCAGATTATGATTATGAGATTGGTATAGGCGACGATGGATCGAGTGATGTGCGTTGTTTGAGTATCGGGGACATTCTCGAGTCCCTTTGAATCTCGAAGGGGGTTACGGCAAGGTGATGGACTTTCGTGTCTGCTATTCAACATCGCGTTAGAAGGTGTGATTAGTAGAGCTGGGATAGACACAAGTGGCACGATCTCCAGGAAGTCCATCCAGCTTCTTGGCTTCGCCGATGACATTGACATCATGGCACGGAACTTTGAGACGATGGCGGAAACGTACATCAGACTGAAGGCTGAAGCTAGGCGGATTGGACTTGCCATCAACGCATCGAAGACAAAATACATGAGAGGAAGAGGTTCTAGAATGTTAGCCTTCCGACCCGAGTTAAGATTGACGGTGAATTTGGGCTCACTGGTGCCCACCAAAAATGAAACCATCAGGGAATCGTGCCTACTTTGGACCGTCGCACGAAGTTTGCTATCTACAAGACGCTGATTAGACTGGTGGTTCTCTACGGCTACGAAACCTGGACTATGCTCGAGTAGGACCAACGCGCCCTTGGTGTTTTCGAACGGAAGGTGTTGCGTATCATCTACGGTGGAGTGCAGATGAATGACGGAACATGGAGGAGGCGGATGAACCACGAATTGCACCAGCTGCTGGGAGAACCATTGCAAAAATTAGACGACTACGATGGGCTGGGCACGTCGTAAGAATACCGCTCGAAGATTCATTGAAAATTGGTCTTGAAAGTGACCCAAAAGGAACAAGAAGAAGAGGCGCGCAGCGGGCAAGGTGGATCGACCACGTAGAAGGCGACCTGCGTACCCTTCGCAGACTATGAGGCTGGCGAAGTGTGTCCATGGATCGAGTAGAGTGGAGACAACTTATTCGGACATCAGAGGACAACAAGACCGTAGCCTGATTGAGTCCTTCGTTCTATTGATCATCCAAACAACCGTCAACGAAATGACAGAGCTCGGATCTAAACGCCATCCACATGTCCTCTAGGTTAATTAAATCAGATTTTCACAGGTTTTAAACAATATTCGATATTAAAGATTTGTTCATAAATTTCCGCCAATCTGTAGGTGGTATTATTTTTTTTGTTTGTTGAAATGACCCACTCCCATTAGACTGGCCCACATTAATATGGGGGAATTTTTTGATTAATTTTTTCAACGGGCCAACCTCTAGATTTGTTCCATTAGGTGAGAAAGCCACTCTCTGAATATTTCAGCTCATTCGGATGTAACACGAGCTGGCGCTTTTGATTACAATTTATATGAGGATATTGGTTTAAATGTATGGAGAATTAATATTCCTTCACTCTGGTTCAGCAAACACGATTAAGCTCAGAATTTCAGCACACGTAGTTTAAACAATAAGGAACAACTTTGCTCAAGACACCATTACGATTCAAGTTAGTATTATGGAGATATTAATGAATTATGTGCATGCTGCTCGTATATTGTAACAAAATACAGGCAGCTTATGCAACGTATCAACTAGATACTAAACAACTGAAAATAAAAGTTCATATTTTCCACAGGCCAACATCTAGACTCGTGTCTTTTGGTGCGATAACCATTCTCTGAATGTTTCAGCCCTTTTTGACGTTACACGGGCTGGCACTTTTGCTTTAATGTTCATATAGGAGATTTGGTTGACATTTACATAAACAAAATGCTCATATACATTCAAAAGTGAATATCACAATAAAACTAACTGGATTCATTCTGTTTGTCTGTGGTAGGAGTGTCATTTTGTCATGTTTCTTATTCAAAATCCCCATACAAAATTCAAACTAAAAGCGCCAGCTCATCTTAGAACCAAATGAGCTGAACCCACAGACAAACAGACGTAACTCTTCATTTTGCATCTTCGTTCACGCATTTAACGGTTGATTTGAATATTATCAGTTCCGCGAACTACTCGCCGCAGCGCTGGCATCGGATTACTTTGACGTTTCTATACATTCTATAGAACTTTTATGCAATATTGTTTGCGAGTTAGCGAGCAATCTTGTTTTCCGCGAGAAGCCAGAGAGATGTCGTTACTGAGGTCCTATGTTTTGAAATACTATGTTTTCAAGAAAAACTTGTTCAAAGTGTTACGTCTGTTTGTCTGTGCTGAACCTTTAGGATAATGGTTTTCTCACCTAAAGAAACCGTGAAAAATGTGTATTTATATTTTTGTGGGCCAGTCTAACTCCCATGACAGACAAACAATGAGCACCATGACATTGCCACTTACCCACTACTTGCAGATAGCCAACTTGGCTGATCATGGGGTTGGTGTTGACTTGGCACATGTAGTAGCCCCGGTCGTCCTGTTGGGCTTGGCTAACGTGCAACAGCCACGTGTTGGAATTGTCGTAGGTGACACTGTACCGTGGAATCCGGGAGATCACGTGCCGATGTATCGTCAGTATCATCTGCCGGTCTATGTGGATCCATGCGACCTGCAAACGAATCATAAATTGTAGCTCCCAGTGACAGTGACAGCTTACAGTCAGTCAGTGCGATGATGGTGTAAATGCTAGGACGAAGAGATTATCTTGTAACTGTAAAGTTTTATCTTGTTTTGTGGTTTCCGGCAGGAGGGGTGGTGCTAAGTGCATAGGATTACACTACAATATAATTGCTCGTCGATATGAGATGAGGGTTGCTGAAAGTGAAGCCTGCTCACGCCAGGATGGAACCTGTGAAGCTGAGTTGGAGTTTGAGCGAGAGGCATTGATGGGTTGTAATTTAATTGCGGTTGCATGGATTATTTAGTATGAAAAACAAACTAGAACAGATGTTGTGGGCTTATCAGAGCAATGTTGAATGGATTATTTATTGAAAATGTGTCAATCTAAATGCAGTACAAATGCCTGTCGAGGTTGTCACAAGGAATGATTACTCAATTAAGTAGATGTTTACCTTGTATGTCCCTAAATGTTCTACCACGCAAGGCAGATTCGCATCTCTCCCGACTGCTACTGTCACATTTGGGATGGGCTGTGCAAATCGCGGCTCGTCCATGAACACTGTAATGAAGAAAAAATAACGAGTATTAGGATGACGGCCATAGGAAGTTGATAACAATTCATTTTCATAGTATCACATTTCTTCGTGTGTTGTTTTTACAAACTGCATCTCTCTTTCATTCTCACAAAGGGGTCGGCATAAGTGATCCTGAATATGATTATGAAGTAAGTGAATGGCAGGATGTGGAAAAATTATGATACGTTACATTCCGTCCCTTGACAGGTAACGGCAAAGGCAACCACCAGCAGCGGTATCCGCTGTCGAGGATAGGATGTTATAATAGCGAAAACGGGAAAAAGTCGAGGAAATTTGATTTGTTTTCTGGGTCGTACCATTTTACTTCCCCAGCGCAGGCAAGTCGTATTTTCTGCCACTACACTGTTCATACAAGAATTTCAAACTGGCCAGGAGCAAAAATCCGCGCCAATCTTCAACACGGGTTGAAGAGTGCCGACGGTGGCAGTGGAGGTGGTGCTGCGTCGGAAATGGAACGGATCGTGCCATGCGTTTAAAATATTCATTGTTCCGGTGAAAAGTGGATAGAATTTTATATTTAATCTGTTTACTTGTCGTTAGCAATGCACTTTTTACCCGTTTGCAGGTTAAAGTGGATGATACCTCATGCCGTGACGAGATGAGCATTTTCACTTACACCAATTTCCTTCCCCGTTTGGAGACGGGAATAACATTTCCAACGCGCCTTGTCCTTTGCTACATCTTGAGACCAGGCAGTGTTGGTCCAGAAGATAGGTTTTTGTTTCATTGCTTTCTCTGGCGAACACATGGCAAGTGTCTATTGTGTCTCGTGCTAACCCGTTTTGGGTCTCGATTAGAGTCACGTGCACCACTCGGCATTCGAGCAGAAACGTAAAGGTAGTGATGCTAAGGTAGATCTGATGTGTTGTAATTTGTTACTGTGTAGCATTTGTTTGCAAAGGGGCACGATCCAGCTAAATAACATTTAATTGTATGTATCAAATCAGATGGACATTTAAATCATCGATCATTAGCGTATACATTGAGTGCCCAGCAACACATTGAGATCAAATAAGACTAGTGCCTAGCGCCTCGTTCGTGGCAATTATCAATCCTTATCTATTATAATGTGTCCTTAATTTTTTTAGGCCTCCCTTAGCTCAGTCGGTAAAGGCGCAGCTACAAAGCAAGACCATACTGGAGGTGGCCGAGAATCGAGGAACGGTCTAGGAATTTTTCGGGTTGGAAAATTTCTCGACTTCCCTGGGCACAGAAGTATTATGGGTACAGGTATCGAAAGCTCTCAATAAATATCTGTGGAAGTGCATCTGCAACACTGCAACACTAAGTTGAGAGCATGCAATAAGCTAATATGCGATAAGCAATAGCATTTGGGAGAAGAAGAACATATCTTTAAGTACTTGGAAAATCCCTAAAAATAATGAAACAAACCGAAAATTTCAAAATTTGCCTGATGTTTTTTTGAGTTTACCTGAAGATCTCGGAACTGATGAGTCGAATCAACCTAAGACCGCAAGTCTCTATAATAAAGATGATAATAATTTCTGAACTATGCTGAAGATTTTCTAAATCCTCTAAGTAAGTTAATTGAAGTAAATTGAACACCTTGAGCTTCTATGTTCTTTCCTGATGTTCTAGAAACTATCCTGAAGCTCTCGCAAATCTCTTGACATTCTTGACATCGTTCTGAAATAAATGGAACCGTCCCAAAAATCTTTAAACTTCTCTGAAAATCTGCAAATTCCTGTAGTGATGATCTGGCCTCAGGTTAAAATTCAATTTAATAAAGTAAAAAAACCCAAGCTATTGTGAAGTTCCCAACATATGTTTAAGTTTTTATTTACTTATAAGGAGTTCTGAAGCATACACGACTTTTTTCGTAAATTCATGGCACTATCTTGAATTTATCACAATACTAACCATTACACATCTTTGAACTTCCTCAAAAAGTCTGGACTTTCTTGAAGCTAGTAGGACCGCCCGTGAGATTTCTGAGCTATTCGGATGATCTATAGGCGAAGCTTCTCATAGGTTCATTGAATTTATTTAAAGTTTCCAAACTTTTCCTCAAATTTGTTGGACTTCTACGAAGTCTCTGGATATCTCCGGGGTTATAAGACCCTTTAAATGCTGCTGCAGCTTACCTAAAGCTCATTTTTTCCTTGATTTGTTTTCCGTCTATCTTGTTTTCTGTGCTGAGCACCAATGCTACCGACGTCAGGGAGGTTGCTCCCACACACCTGGACCCTACCTATCAACCCATCAACAAATGAACCGGGGATCAACGGATTTACTTCCTTTCCGAAGGAAGGCATGATCAAAGATCTTATGCCTCAGGGACTGGGATTGAACCCAGGCCTGCTAGGGTGAGAGGTAATCACGCTTACCACTACACCACCGGTGCCGCTGACCTAAAGCTCATTGAGCTGCCTTGAAGTTCTAGAAACTTCTCCGGGTGCCAGAATGTTTAAAAGAAGTTATCAACACTTTTCTTACTATACCGCAGTATGTTCATGAAACTTCCCCGAAAGGCTCGGTATTTCCTTTCATCCTTTGGAACATCTACAAAGTACCATACTAATTTCAATTTCTGTACTTGCCTGATTTATTGGAGCTCCTGTGACACCTCCGATTTCTTTTATTAAGTTCTCTCAACTTTCCTGATGCTCTCTTGCCTATGTTTGGATTTGGATATTTGGGGCTCCTAGAAGGTTCTGGTATTTTAATGAATTTACTGCCTTAAATTGTCGAAATTTATCGAGCAAACGCTGTTTTCCTGAGTTTCTGAGTTGACTGCTCCGAGGCTCGGAGAACTTTTCCGATTATCGAGTAACTTCCTTTAAACTCAACTGAAGTTTTGGAAACTACTGAAAGTACTGCCATTAAGCTCTTTGATCTTCACTTATGTTCTCATTTTTTTTTTTCGAAAAATCTGGAATCTATCATTATTTTTTTTTTTTTTTCCTTTGGTTTGTTTTTTCCGTCGATCTTGTTTTCCGTGCCGAGCACCAATGCTACCGACATGCCAGGAAGGCAGCTCCCACACCTGGACCCTACCTATCGACCAATCAACTCATGAACCGGGGACCAACGGCTTTACTTCCCATCCGAAGGAAGACGTGATCAGAGATGTTATGCCTCAGAACATCCCGGCGGCGCCGACTGGGATTGAGCCCAGGCCTGCTGGGGTGAGAGGTTATCATGCTTACCACTACACCACCGGTGCCGTTAGAATCTATCATTATGGTTCAATTTACTTTGATGCATTTTTTTAAAATTCCAAAGGAATTTTCTTTTCGACGCATTATTTTCGATTGCAAAAAAATTCGCGTCATTTTGTGTAAAATATCAAAAGGAATTGAATAGTGCGAGTTTTTTGCAATCTGAAATAATGCGTAGGAAAAAACTGCTTATGAAATTTTCCAAAAAGCATCAAAGCAAATTGAACCTTAAGGTGCTTAAAACTTCTCCGTAATTCTGGACGTTTTTGTATCTCTCAAACCTCCCTGAAGTTTTTGTTAATTCCTTTAAACTCTTAGAACTGCTTGAAGGTAATTTTCTGATTAATAAAACAACCTATCCTAAAGTTTTCAACAATTTCCTGAAGTTCTCGGGAGTACATTGAAGTTCATGCAATTTCTTTGGCTTCCAAATTCTTTGAAGTATTTTGGACTTTATTTAAGGAACATCTGTAAAGTTCCTGCAATTTTTGTATTGTAAATCAAAAAGCCCTGAAGTTATCGAAAAGGTTCCAGAAGTTTTCAGAACTTCCCTAAAGTTTCCACTTTTTTATTGGATGTTAATGGAACTGCTCTGAAATTCTTAGAACTCCCCTCTTCTCTAAGTATTCCCAAGTATCTGATGTTTTTAGGGAGTTCTTTATGTTCTTGTTAAGATCATAAAGTGTCCACAATGTTAATGGAACTGGCATGAAGTTCGCTGACCTTCATCTAATTTTCTTTAACGGCATGAAACTGTCCTGAAGCTCTTGGGACTTGCCCAAAGTTATGGACTTTGCTGTAGTCCCCAGAACTTCTCTGAATATTTAGATGATTTCCTAAAGTTCTTGTAACATAACTGAAGTTTAAGAAGCTTCTTGAATTTTTCTAAAATTCAATATGTGGACACCCACCCATCACTGTGCGATTATATGAGAAAAATGTGCCACTCTAGACATGGAGAAGTATTGCTATGATAGGGTAAATTATGGCTTCGGCACCCATTAACTGTTCGGCAACTAAAATTTAAACGATAATTTCGCAAACAATTTCTGTGTCTTTCAGCTTCAATCTGATTACATTTTTACGACAGAGCAAACCTGTTATGCCAGGTTTTTCTTCAAATAAAACATACGCTCTTACAAAATAGGACTGATTTCGAGTTGCTGGTAATAGAGCAACTGGGTAACATGCAGTTCAAATGGATAGGTTGCCGAAGAAAAAGTGGCTGTCGACAGCTGAGTAGTTTGGGACATTACAAAAACGTCATGCGGGGCTTATTGTATATGAAGGCAACCTCAGAATGTACGTATATGAACAGGCATTCTTGAAATGGGTCGTTGGATGCACAGTAGAGCTATCACCTTCCATCGCTAGGGCTAAAAATGTTTGCATCTATGTATAAAAATAGCTGCAAACAATTTTCTTCCACAAAAGCACTGCCGGTCAGGGAGAAATGGATTATAGGCACGCACACATATATCTGCCATTTTTCGCCTAATTTTAGTTCTCTATGCAGTAGTTGATAGGCTAGGAGTGTAACTTACTACGTCAATTCATCTTACAACAGTGACAAACCATACTGTGGGTGGGTGGGTGTTGTGTATTCCTTCTAACCCCCACTGGCCGGCAGTGTTATTATGGAAGAACTCTCTCTCTCTCTACAATGCCGCATTTATGGTCATTGTAGACAGCTTTAGTCATGGAGCTAGAAGGTAATAACTCCATTGCAGATCCAGCAACCCATTTCAGAATGTCTGGAGAGTCACGCCCATTCCGAGGTT